AGTACTGGGGATTGAACTCAAGACCTTGTGCTTGCCAGGTAAGCACTTATTCTACTGAGCTATATCTCCAGCCCCCTACTTTCTCTTCCAGGAAATTTAGTGTTTCTGTTTTAATGTTTAGATATTTATTCCATTTTGACTTTAGCTTAGTGCATGGTGATAGACCTGGTTCAAGTTTTAGTTTTTGGCATGTAGAGAGCCAGTTTTTCTAGCACCATTTGTTAAAGAGGTTATCTTTCTTCCAGTAAGCATGTTTGGCCCTTTTGTTAAAGATAAGGTGGCTGAGTGTGTGCATAGAGTCTTCTGCATCTTCTAGTTCATTCTATTGGTCCTCAGGTCCATTTCATTGCCAGTACCATGCTGATTTTATCGCAATAGCCATGTAGTATAATTTCAAGTCAGGAATTGTAATGCCTCCTGCCTTGTCTTTGTTGGCCAGGATTGCCTTTGCTATTCTAGGTTTTTTCTGGTTCCAAATAAATTTTAGAAATGATTTCTGTAGGTCTGTGAGGTATGTTGGTAGTAGTTTGATAGGGATTGCGTTAAATTGGTACAGCAATTATGGGAGTATTACCATCTTCACAATGTTGGTTCTTCCTGTGCAGAAGCAGGGAATATCTTTCCATTTTCTTAAGTCCTCTATGATGTCTTTTTAAAGAGTACTGTAATTTTCCTTGAAAAGATCTTTGACTTCTTTAATTAGATTAGTTCCAAAATATTTCATTTTCCTCGGTGCTATTGTAAAAGGTATTGTTTATCTAATTTCCCTCTTAGAGGAATGCTTTTGAATTTTGGCTATTGACTTTGTATCCTGCTATGCTACTGAATTTGTGTATTAATTCTAGTAGCTTCTTGGTGGAGTTTTTTGGGCCTTCCAAGTAAAGTATCATGTCATCTGCAAATAATGATAATTTAACTTCTTTGTTATCTATTCTTATTCCTTTTATTTCCTTCTCTTGTCTAATGGCTGTAGCTAATGATTCCAGAACTATATTGAAGAGGAGGAGTGATAGAGGACATCTTTGTCGTGTACCAGATCTAAGAGTAAAAGATTTCTGTTTTTCCCCATGTAAAATTATATTAGCTGTTGGATTGTCATACATGACTTTTATTAGGTGGAAGTAGAGACCATCTATTCCAGTTTTCTGTAGGAATTTGAACATGAATGAATGTTGGACTTTGTCAAAAGCCTTTTCTGCATCAGTTGAGATGATCATGTGGTTTTTAGTTTTCGCTCTATTGATACAGTGTATTGGGATAATGAAAGCTTTTGTTGTGTTGCTTAACGTTAGGAAACAAACAAAGCAAAGCAAAGCAAAACAAAACAAAAAGAAACTGATTCAAGACTCTTGGGTTGGAGAACTATTGTATCTTTGTCATCATCCGTCTTTACCAGGGCTAATGAAATCTGGCCACTGTTTAAGAAAAGGGCATCGCATGTTTTTCTCTTTTGTAAGAAGCCCTTATTGCAAAGTTAGCCTAATATCTTGCTTTTGTGAAACTGAATTCCATATTTCATGGAAGAAATCTCAACATGGAAGAGCTTTCAACTGAATTTTTAATAACCTGTATTTACAAAACCATCACTTTAAATTTCCTTTGTTTTTTTTTTTACCTGTACTCCCAGGCAAAACAGTGCCAAAACAAAACAAAACAAAAAACCAAAACAAAGCAAAACCAAACCCCTCCCCCCAAAAAAATTCATATATTGGAACAACATACAAACAGTGTTCATTACTCTTTTGAAATTGGCATTATTTTTACTAAATTGGTTCCTTTGGGCTCTCAATTATATTTTTCATAGCTTTATTGGTGCTTCCTAGAAACTTTTATTATGCCAGATATAAGGTAGATAGTAAGATTTTCTGACTCCAAAGGAACTTTAGGCTAAGTAATTCATCCAGAGAGGAAAATGAAAGTAATTAATAAAAGGCATGAAGAGAGGGCTTGATGGGTTATATTTACTCTACAGCATCTCATTCTAAACTCTTTCCTATTTTCTCCACTCAAACCTGCTTAGATTGACACTTGGCTTTCTTTTCTTGCTATACTGACCTCAGTAGATCTGTAGGGCACATCTGGCAACTGAATATGCATCAGTATGTTGAAAGCCAAAATTTGAGAACCCTGGTGAGTAACATTTTTTAAATTGTCAGTGCTTAATGGACACAAGACTGAGATTATGATGTATAAACTGTAAATGTAATGCATTATAGAATCTGAGCTAGTTTATATTTTTCAGTGTTGTTTCTTGAAAGTTTTTCCCTCAAATATTTTAAGATGATTGTACTTTGTGCGTAAATTTTAAAGTCTGTAGCGAAGTGGTGCAACAGTGGATTAGAATTTACCTTCTCTTAAAAATTAAAAAAAAAGAATTTGCCTTTTCTTTTAAGTAAATGATTAAAAATATTAATATTTTAAATTTACAAATAGATATCAAATAATAGCAAATGATAAAAAAATGATTAGCCTAAATGGATTAAGAACAAGTTTAGGATTACCAGTGTGGGGTATGCAATCCATATCATTGATTTATGCATTTGTTGGGATTGCCCTTAGTATCCAGAGCTACTTCCTTGATTGGTAAAAGGGCCAGCTAGCCGGTGCCATCATGGCTGCCACTGGTCATTGTTCTTTGTCACTTATTCTATACCCGGCATGCCTTGAACATAGTGGACAGTCATAATTATTGTTAACTGCTAGGAAGGCCTGCTGTGTGACAGGCAGTTGGTAAGCTGTATGTGTACACATTAGCTGATAAATATTTGCTAAGAGGTGAAGGAGGAAATAAATTAGAGATCAATGCTTTCATCCTCTAATACACAGAAAAGACTCCGTTACTCAGCTACTTGAGGGAGGAGCCTAGGTACATATGGGAATGTCATTAGTTTTCTTTGTGAGTAGATTTGGACAATATCTTTAGCATCTCTTGATATCCAGTGCTTAAATTAAGTAGATAATCTTGAAAATGTTCTCTGATTCAATTGGTGCTTAGTGATGTTTTTGTAATATACTCCAAGTTTCACTTTGGTGTCATATCTGGACATCAAATATAATTTGTAATAATATTGTAATATAAAATCACTCAAGAGATAATAAAAGATTACCCAAACTAATATCATTATCATTGGGACAACACATTAAGGCTTTGAAATATTCTGATGATTAGATGTCTTTGAAGTATTGATGATCTTGTGTATTATTAGAATGAATTTGCCATCTATAAAAAGTATTTATAACAGCCAAGATTATACCTGCTTTTTGTTATAAAAACTGTCCTGATTGAAGCAGCCCATTATAATTACTTTCTGTGATTAACCTGATTAAATAAAAATGGCACACTATTATGGATTTAATAGTACATGTGTCAGACAACTTCTACCAATGTGTTATATAATTATTCAAAACATAAAGAAGATGCAACTAAAGTACCTTCACTTTTAGCTCATGTTTCTGGCTACAAATACTTCAATACTAAGAAAAGCAAATATAGGTATAGATGTCTATGGTTTTTATGAGGTTTTATCTAGCTTTGTGTTGGTTTCTCTAGAAACCAGAGTTCTTCATAATGAAAACTGTATCTTTTGCCTGTTGTAATTAGCAGTGAGGTCAGCACAAACCAAGTGAATCCCATTTTGACACTTTTTTTTTTAAACATAGAAGGATGAAGCTTATGAGATTCAGTAAATGGTCTGGCTTTTCAGGCTTTTGTAAAAATATGCATCTGTCTTATTTAGCCTTGACTTACTGTCAAATTATAAAAAAAATCATATGTTCTACAGAAAGATTCTTTTAAGAGTGTAGACTTTTTATTAATCACTGAACAAAAAAAGTCACTGTTACCATCTTTGTTAAGGTAATAATCAACTGTATTTCTTTGAATATCAGAAGTACCCATTTCATGAGAAATACCCGTGAAAACACTAGCACTGTCTTTAGTTTGACGATCCCGTTGCAGTCCTTTAACAGTTTTGTTTTTCTTTTGGAAAACAGCCTGAAAGAATTACATAGCCAAATAAAAACATAGTTTTGTTAAGGTACAATAGGAAATATTCATTTTGTCCTTATGTCCTTTCACACAGCATCTGCAACAGCATAACAACAGTATTAAGAATATAATTAACTGCATGCTAACCTGATTTTCAATGGATGTTCTTAATTCCTGAGATTTGAACTAATCTTGAGATGGCTTATAATGCTGCTACTCAAATTCTCTTGACATTGAAAGTGGCCTTTTGCTTCAGAAGCTTCTAGCCAGGCATGGAGACACCTTCGGGGCTTGGGAGGGTGTTTGGAAGGTGGCCCTAAGTGTGTATTTTCCCCATGCAGCGCCTGTGCTTCCTGGGGCTTACCAGCAGGGCCATTCCCAAGGCTATGGGTACATGCACCAGGCAAGCATGTCTTCCATGAGGTCTATTCAGCACTCACCAAACCTGGTAAGTGTCACACCATAACGTTCCTTCCCCACTGGCTTTCTACCTTTGCCTCCAAAATATACATGTATGTAGAAAACAGGCAAATTGAAGAGCGACCATTTTCCTATGTAGCTAAATGATACCCAAAGATTGACGAGGGAGGAAGCAACAAAGTTACAGTGAGAAAGCATTTTTCAAAGCAGGACATTAATAAGAGTTATATGAACTAAGAAAACACATTAGAGATCTATTAGTATCATGTCATAATGGTCACTTCTTGATTGGTATTAGCCAGCTTTAATCTTTATTTGGACCTAAAAACTGCAGATATATATCGATCCTAGAATGAATAGGTTAACATTGATGTTCATGAAAATGTCCATGAAGTAGACATTAAGCAATGTAGTCAGATAGTCAACAGAGATGGTTTTAATGCTCTCATTACAAAGAAATTGTGTATTGGAGGTGTCAGTATGACAGTTATCATGATTTGATCATTATAACAAGGATTTAGTTATATGTACCATAGTACTCAGACTATTTATATAGTACATTCCTGTTACTGTGATACAAATCTATAAAGTGAGCATATCATAGATTTTTATTTCATATATATATGAAAATGCTATTTCATA